ATGGATCAAACCTTTTTTACTCCAAAGGAATCCTTGAGATAATTTTCAGGTTTCAGGGAACCCTTGGAAAAACCAATTTGTTGGTGGTCAGTGGGAAAGAAGCCCCTTATATTGGTGGTCAGTGGGAAAGAAGCCCCTTATATTGGTGGCCAGTGGGAAAGAAGCCCCTTATATTGGTGGGAAAGATGGGAAAGATGATGAAAAACAGTGTTGCACCACTATAAATGAAGTGTTAAAACCACCTTATTTTTATTTAAATAAAGAAATGTAAAACAAATCCCAGCATTGCAATCTCTCCTAGGCCCAACCAATGCCACAGAGGGTGTGATGATGCCACTGCTGTAGCCCGCCCGACATGTTTCGGCCAATAGGATGTCGTCACTGGAGTTAGAAAGATGCCCCTTACAATAATGGTTGGAATGCCACCCTACAGACAGTTAAGAAGATCATTGGGTTCATGCATCTGGCTCTGCCAAGTGACTCCAAAACTATGCAGGTACCATCAGATGGGAGGTCAAGCAACCCCATCGCAACCTCTAGAGGAACCCTAGGGTTACCTGCGTGAGAATGGCTGGACGATATTGACATGTTAAATAATTTATGAGCAGATTCATATGCAAATAACATGTTGGCCTAAGGCACATTGGAATGACCCCTTTTGCACAAGCTCAGGCCAACAAACAAGAGAAAAGAGAGATGGTTTCATGTTCTCGAAACCTTAAAGAGCAAGTCCAGGAGAAACCCAACTAAGATGAAACCTACTCCCATCTCCTTTCTAAGCCTATCCTATCTAACCCTGTAAAGAAAAGATCCAGCAGCTCCGGTCCCATGATCAGCTGTCAGCTGACAACGGATGCCCCATAGTAAGCCTATGTGTGACGTCAACTCCCAGGCATTTCCAGCCATTGTTGACGATCTCTCCTCTACACAGAATCTGCCACAGGAGAGACCATGTGACAGAATTGGAGCACCTTAAGAATAGGTAAGTATACAGACCTTTGCTTTACAGGTTAGATAGAATAGGCGTAGAATGGGGTGGGGGTAGGTCTAGCCTTTGTAAGGTTTTGCCTGATCTTTCACTTGAAAGAGCTATGGGACCCCTCTAAACATCTCCTGCACCCCCATTCACCCACAAGTCTAAACTCACCACAAATGTCCACAGAGGAGGACAACAAATTACCAATATCAGCTTTTAAATTTTGAGACGTAGCACTGAGCCAACTTGTCCTGCTGCCCTCATAAGTGCCATTACAGTAAAGACAGCCCTAATGGTCCATATTCATAACTCTTTTTTACTTGTTCCTAAAGGCTAGATGCAGATGAGGCCTCTACACAGGGCTCTGTGTAGGCCACTCTAGTTCCTCCACACCAAACTCATCAAACAGTGTCCTTATGGAGTGGGCCATCATTTATGAGTTCAGGTACTGATGTGGAATGAAATGACCATGCTCGTAATTGGCTTTCTAATTCTTCTCAAAGGTGTTCAGTAGCGTTGTGGTCAGAGTTCTGTGCAGGACGCACCAGTTCCTCCACAACAAACTCATAAAACCATAACTTTATGGAGCTGACCACCATTTATGAGATCAGGTACCGATGTTAGACGAGATGACCCGGCTCACAATTAACATTCAAATTAATTCCAAAGGTGTTCAGTAGCGTTGCGGTCAGGGCTCTGTGCAGGACGCATCAGTTCCTCCACACCAAACTCATAAAACCATATCTTTATGGAGCTGTAAATGCAGCCCTGATTATTATGGTCCATATTTAAAACTCTTTTTTACTTCCTAATGGCTAGATGCAGATGAGGCCTCTATGTTCAATATTTAGAAATGAGAGTAATCTAGAAGCCAATTAGTCAACTGTGGGATCATTTGAAATAGAAAGAGCTTACAAGCGGTAAATTTCCCTTCACTATTTATGAGAACAGAGCCTATGGAACCACCAAGAATCAATACTATCATTGACGTGCAGAGCGGCTGAACAATTGTTCACTGGAATGACACTAATCTGCTTGATTTCTAATTAAATGTTGGACCTGTCCAGTACTGAGCCAGCTTACAAAATGACTTCCATTCATAAAATATACACGTTATATGGCCAACTGGCTGAACGTTTGTAGGCATCTATATGAGCTTGTTAGATCTCCAATTCCAAAACCATGGCCATTATTATGGAGTTGTCCAACCTTCTGTAGCTGTAAAAGCCTTCACTATTCTGGGACTTTCCATGAAGTTGTATCTGTGACAACTTGTGCCCATTCAGCCAAGAGGGCGTTTTTAAAGTCCAGTATTTATGTTGGATAAGATGACCTGGCTCTCAGTTGGCTTTCTAATTCTTCTCAAAGGTGTTCAGTAGGGTTGAGGTCAGAGTGCTGTGCAGGACGCTTTAGTTCCTCCACACCAAACTCATAAAACCATATCTTTATGGAGCTGACCACCATTTATGAGATCAGGTACTGATATTAGTTGAGATGACCCGGCTCACAATTAACATTCAAATGAATTCCAAAGGGGTTCAGTAGGGTTGAGGTCAGAGTTCTGTGCAGGATGCTCCAGTTCCTCCACACCAAACTCATGAAACCATATCTTTATGGAGCTGACCACCATTTATGAGATCAGGTACTGATGTTAGTTGAGATGACCCGGCTCACAATTAACATTCAAATTAATTCCAAAAGTGTTCAGTAGGGTTGAGGTCAGAGTTCTGTGCAGGATGCTCCAGTTCCTCCACATCAAACTCATAAAACCATAAGTTTATGGAGCTGACCACCAGATGACCACGAGATGACCCACCTCACAACATTCAAATGAACTCCACACCAAACTCATCAAACCGTGTCTCTATGGAACGGGCCATCATTTATGAGTTCAGGTACTGATGTGGAATGAGACGACCAGGCTCGTAATTGGCTTTCCAAATCATTTCAAAGGTCTTCAGTAGCGTTCAGGTCAGAGTTCTGTGAAGGACTCTCCAGTTCCTCCACACGAAACTCATAAAACCATCACTTTATGGAGCTGACCACCATTTATGAGTTCAGGTACTGATAGAAGAGATGACCTGGCTCACAATTAACATTCAAATTCATCCCAAAGGCGTTTAGTAGGGTTGAGGTCAGGGTTCTGCGTAGGCCACTCTAGTTCCTCCACACCAAACTCATCAAACCGTGTCTTTATGGAGCGGGCCACCGTTTATGGGTTCAGATACTGCTGTGGAATGAGATGGCCAGGCTCGTAATTGGTTTTCCAATTCATCCCAAAGGTATTCAATAGGGTTGAGGTGCAAAACACGTTAGTTCTTCCACATCAAATTCTTCAAACCATGTTCCTTTAGAGTTGCCTTTATACACAGGGGCACAATCATGGTGAAACCCAAAAGGGTCTTCACCATGTTGAGAGGACAATATTGCCTAAAATATCTTTGTATTCTGTCACTAGAAATGCCTAAACTTGATCATTTGGAGGGGCGTCCCCAAACTTTCGATTTTCTCATTATTCGTTGGACTCTTTCTAACCAATATTAGTAGGGTTGAGGTGCAAAACACTTCGGTTCTTCTCCATCAAATTCTTCAAACAATGTCCCAGTAGCGAGTTCTGTGAAGGACTCTCCAGTTCCTCCACACGAAACTCATAAAACCATCACTTTATGGAGCTGACCACCATTTATGAGTTCAGGTACTGATAGAAGAGATGACCTGGCTCACAATTAACATTCAAATTCATCCCAAAGGCATTTAGTAGGGTTGAGGTCAGGGCTCTGCGTAGGCCACTCTAGTTCCTCCACACCAAACTCATCAAACCGCATCTTAATGGAGCGGGCCACCGTTTATGGGTTCAGATACTGATGTGGAATGAGATGACCAGGCTCGTAATTGGCTTTCCAACTCATCCCAAAGGCATTCAGTAGGGTTGAGGTGCAAAACACGTTAGTTCTTCCACATCAAATTCTTCAAACCATGTCCCTTTAGAGTTGCCGTTATATACAGGGGCACAGTCATGGTGAAACCCAAAAAGGGCCTTCACCATGTTGAGAAGACAGTATTGCCTAAAATATCTTTGTATTCTGTCACTAGAAACGCCTAAACTTGATCATTTGGAGGGGCGGCCCCAAACTTTCAATTTTCTCATTATTCATTGGACTCTTTCTAACCAATATTAGTAGGGTTGAGGTGCAAAACACTTCAGTTCTTCCCCATCAAATTCTTCAAACAATGTCCATTTAGAGTTGCCTTTATACACAGGGGCACAGTCATGGTGAAACCCAAAAAGGGCCTTGACCATGTTGAGAAGACAATATTGCCTAAAAGCTCTTTGTATTCTGTAACTAGAAACACCTAAACTTGATCATTTGGAGGGGTGGCCCCAAACGTTTGATTTTCTCATTCTTCGTTGGACTCTTTTTAACCGATATTCGTGCAGGTTGTATCCTTTGGTATAATATATTTGGGCTTCCAACATGTCAAGGGCCTGTTTGTCTGTGTTCCTACGACCTTTAGAAAAGCCAACATACTACCACCATTCATCAACTCAATGAAGAAAAACTCATTTCATTCCTGCAAGGGAACATATAAAAACATCTTGACTTTCACGCCCCCCCCCCCCACCCTCACATATGTGCCGTTATAATTCATTAGCGCCTTCTTTCGCGTGATGTCTTCCAGGAAAAGGAGATGAATTAGGCAGACAAGTCTAAACACAAACACAATTATCACGGCTAATGAGTTCAGCGTGGCTTCATGCACGGCCCATGCACCAGTGGCCCCACCAGCCCGCCAGCAGCCAGGGACATCTAATCAGCACACAGAACGGACAAAGCTGTTAAAACTTGCATGAAAGATGGGCGAAAGGAAAGATGGAAGGGGTGGGGTGGGGGGGTAGGAACGAGGCCCAGCGGGTGTTAGCCAGCGACAGGACTGACCTGCAGCATCATCTAGATAATTCGAGTTAATTCGACTACGGAGAGAGAGAGCCTAGGACCGCAGAAAGAAAGAATTCCCCTCTTACCCTGGGTTCTAAGAGTGTGCCAGGCAGAAAGGTGGTAGTAACCGTCTGATGTCACACCTGGCGGGGGGTAGCCGCGCCCGCCTGGGAGAGTCACATCCCCAAGGGAGGCAACATTGGACATGGTGATGTCACCACTGGGCGGGACTTTCCCTGCATTACCAGCGACAAATAAAACATCATGAAACATAAGCAAAAGGCAACAGAATCGACAATTGTTTGCGGTACGGTGTGCGGTTATCGGGGGAGGGGAGGAGGAGGAGGGGGGAGGAGGGGGTGAAGCAAGTGGGAGGGAAAAGAAGGAAGGAGGGCGTGGTCACTGTGATCATTACAATACACCAATTACTGTGAATAGATGCGGATGGAGCGATATAACCCAGCAGAGGAGGAGCCTAAATCCTAAATTCCCCATTTCACAGCCCAATACGCATCGTGCCAACCATGCGACAGCCAATCAGCTACCAGCTTTCAGACCCGTGGTAGCGGACAGCACTTGTAATGAAGTCCTTCGAAGAAAGAGCCGGTCCTAACGGGAACTTAACGTTTCTATTGGCAAAACTATTAAAATAAAATAAATACACCTCAGTTTCTGAAATTTGGAAGATCGAGAAATTCAGCTGATCTGTTGAACCGCACATTCAAAGAAAAAATATTGTCTATGCCCGTCCCACCATCAGAAGAGGGAACAAACCCAAAGTTTAGCCTATGTTTCTTATGTAATATTATTATTATTTTATATAATATTTATTATTTTTTCTTAATAATTATCAAATTATTATTATTATGTTATCATCATCACCATCATCCTATTTATTTTTTCATTACTTTTTTTTTTAGATTTCTTATTATTAAGTTTATTATTATTATATTATTTATTTTTTTTTTATTATTATTATTATTATTATTATTATTTTTTATTATTTATTTTTATTTATTATTATTATTTCTTTATTATTACCATTATTATTTATTTATTATTACCATTATTTCTTTATTATTACTAATATTTCTTTATTATTACCATTAATATTATTACCATTATTATTATTATTATTATTACCACCATTATTTCTTTATTATTACCATTACTATTATTATTATTACCATTATTATAATTATTATTACTACCATTATTTCTTTTATTACCATTATTATTATTACCATTATTATTACTATTACCTAAAAATAATACATTGATGATAAAATAATAATAACAATAGTAGTAATAGTAATGATAATTTATTCCCATTACTACTACTATTATATTATTATTATTTTTCTTATTTATCATCAATGTACTATTTTTTATTATTATATTATCATAATTATTTTTTCATTACTTTTTCATTTTAACCAATGTATTATTTATGCTATTATTACTTTTTTAAAATTATTATTTCTTATTCATTATCAATTTATTTTTTTTTACTATTATTATCATATTTTTTTTTTTTTTTTTAAAATATTTTAATATTTTCTCATTTATTGTCAATGTATTTTTTTTTATTATCATCATAATTAACATTCATTTTTTCATTACATTTAAATATTTTTTTTATCAATGTATTATTTTTATCACTACTTTTATTAATAATTATTTTTTTATTACTACCATTATTTCTTTATTATTACATTTTTATTATTATTATTTACCATTTTTAATTACCATTTTTATTTTATTATTTTCTTATTTATCATCAATTATTATTTTCATTATTATATTATCATATTTATTTTTTTTTTCATTACTTTTTCATTTTTTTAACCAATGTATTATTTATGCTATTATTTTTTTTTTAATTATTATTTCTTATTCATTATCAATTTATTATTTTTACTATTATTATTACATATTAAATTTTTTTTTTTTTTTAAAATATTTTAATATTTTCTCATTTATTGTCAATGTATTATTTTTTTTATTATGATCATAATTCACGTTCATTTTTTTCATTACATTTAAATATTTTTTCATCAATGTATTATTTTTATCACTACTATATTAATTATGCATGTCTTCAATATCATCTTTATTTTTTAATTAATTTTTCATTATTATTATTATTATTATTTTTTTTTTAATAGTATTATTACTATTATTATTAGTAGTAGTATCATCTTTTCTATTATCAATTTAATATTATCATCATCATCAAAATTATTACCATCTTTATTTTTTTTTTTTTTTTTAATCAATTTTTCATTTTATTATTATTAGTAGTAGTAGGAGCAATAATATATCATTTTTCTATTATCAATTTAATATTATCATCATCACCATTTTTTTTTTTTTTTTTTTTTTTTTTAATAAATTTTTCATTTTTATTATTATTATTATTATTAATATTTTAATTATATTATTTTTAGTATTATCATCTTTTCTATTATCAATTTAATAATTATTATCATCATCATTATTATCAGCTTTTTTTTTTTTTTTATTTTTTTTTTTTATTTTATTTTATTTTTTTTAATTTTTAATTATTATTATTATTATAATTTTATAATAATTATTTTTTTTATTATTAGTAGTAGTAGTAGTATCATTTTTCTAATATCAATTTTAATATATTATCATCATCATTATTATATTTTATTTTTTTCAGCATTTTTAAAAATTTCTTCTGATTTTTTTTGTTTTTTTTATTATTCTCATTCACACTAATTACCGAGAAGCCTTTAATATACTGAATTGCAATCACACAGAAGACCGAATTTTTAAACAAACATTCTGTGCTGTGTCAGAAATTTATTATTTTTTTTTAATTTATTTTTTTATTTTTTTTTATTTTTTTTTTTGTATTAATTTATTTTTTTTTTTTTTTATATTGCTTAATTTTTTTTAAAAACCCTGAACTCTGGGCAAATTATAACTACAATAGATATATAAATTTTTTTTTTTACATTTTTTTTTTTTTATTTTTTTTTATTTATTTTTTATTATTTTTTTTATTTATTATATTGCTTTAATTTTTTTTTTTTTTGGCAAAACTTTTTTTATAATTTTTTTTTTTTTGGACATTTAAGGAATTTTTTTTTTTTTACAAATTAGTCCTTTTTAATTTATTTTAAAACATTTTTTTTTTTTGGATTTCCTTATTTTTCCAGGCTGATCTTTTTGGATACATTTTATTTTTTTTTTTTTTTTACTTAAACTTGCATATTAGTAATCTTGCAGTAATTAAAATTTTTTAGCATGTGGCAATTTTTAAACAAAAATTAAATTTTTTTTTTTTTTTTTTTTTTTTATTCAATTTTTATTTTTTTTTTTTTTTTTTTTATATTTTTTTATTATTATTCATATTATTTCATTATTATTATTTTTTCATATTATTATCATTATTATTATTCATATTTATTTTTTTTTATATTATTATTTTATTTTTTATTATTATTATTTTTTCATTTTTTTTTATTTATATTTATTATTTATATTATTATTTTTTATTTATTTATTATTATTTATTTTTTTATTTTATTATTTTTATTATTATTATTATTTATTATTATTATTATTATTATTATTATTATATTATTATTATTTTATTATTTTTTATTCATTTTATTTTTTTTATTATTATTATTATTATTATTTATTTATATTATTATTTATAATATTATTATTATTTATTATATTATTTTTATTAATTTTATTATTTTCATTTTTTTTATTATTTATTATTATTATTATTTTATTATTTAAATTTTCATTTTATTATTTATATTATTATTATTTTTTATTTTTATATTTAATATTATTATTATTATTTTATTTTATTATTTTTATTATTATTATTATTATTTTATCATTCATTCATTATTATTTATTATTATTTATTTATTTTTATTATTTTATTTCTTACATTCAGGACGCTTTTTTTTTTTTGACGGCATGTGCATTTATTTTGCTTAATCTGCTACTCAAGCCCAAACAACTAAATATGTGTGTGAAATACATAGATGTTAATGTTTTTGCATCCGATTCTGCTGCTCAGCCAGTCTTGTGATTCACACACCACCCTGACTCCTTGCTGATTGAGAAGATTGAAGTAATAAGGGTGACAGAGGAAGCTGCAAAGATGAAACAGAGGTGTCATGGCTGCACTGCAAGCCACACCCAACCAGGGGCGGACTGGCAACTCATGGGGCCCCCCTCGGCAATAGGGGATCATGGGGCCCCTGTGTCCTTGCCCACACTCAAACCACACCCAAAAAAGCCTCTGAAAGGTACCAGGGGCATCTCATGGGGCCCCCCACTAACCCCGGGCCCGAGTTCCAGAATGGTCAGTCCGCCCCTGCACCCAGCCTATACTGGACCTTGTGTACAGGGCGCTGAAGCATCGTATTCTACAAATATAAAAATATATCCCCCCCTCCCCCCCCAATAGATTCCGCTACATTATTTGGGCATGATCAGTCACATATACCTGCAACGTTTTGGAACCGTGCCGGGCTTCCCTCATCACTGTCCAATGTTACTGAATCTATAAATGCATATTGGCGATGTTACGTCTGGCATCACAAGACTGGCCCAACAGAATACAAAATCTGACGGCAGGTGAAACCCTCCCCATCTCTGAATTGTAAATTTAAATATAGCTGATTGTGACATTTATTTATTTATTTTTTTGCCTTTAATAATTTATTCTGAATTTTTTTCTTGATTTTTAAAAATTTTTTTAATTATTATGATTATTGTAAATTTAGCTATTTTATTTATATACAGTATTATATATATATATATATATATATAGAGAGAGAGAGAGTATATATTTTTTTTTTTATATTTGTTTTTTATTTTATAATATTTATATTAAGAAAAATTATATAAATATAAATATATATATGAACACTGTATATTCTGTTATTATTAATTGATATAATAATTTATTATTATGATTATTTTGGCTTCAAGTATTTTTTACTTTTTTTTATATTATATTTAAATATATATAAAAATAATATATATATATTTTTAAATGTAAATTGAAATGTATAATTTGATAAATATATATATATATATATATATATATATATATATAATAAATAAAATATGTGTTTTTGTGTGTGTGTGTATATATATATATATATATATATTTTATTTTTTTTTTTTTATTATATAATACCATATATATTTATATATATATATATAT